GGGAAGGATCTCAATAGCTGTTCTTTTATTTAGCTTCCTATAACTGAAAAAGCCGTACAAATAAAGGAGACGATCCTGAATTATGGCCCACAAATGCTATCCTCACATTACCTTTCCCTTCACTCCACTCGCTCAGGACTTTTTTTCTTTGCAGTTTATCTCAACTCCCCACAAGATTCACCTTTTGCTCATCCAGCAACTTTTACGGTGTGATTTTGCTCTGTGTTAGCAGGACTGGAGGATGTATCACCCAAAATGTGTGTGAGTCAGCCCCCTTGAGTGTCATACCGACTCCTCATTAGGACTCCAAAGTTGAATCTTGGGCAGGCGACTCATCCAGCTCCACATGCAGCCGGGTGAGAGGCCAGCACAGAGACACAGGCCTGCTAAAATCATGTCCAGATGGTCAGTGTAGGGGAGTTCTACACAACAGCAATATCGCAATCACATTCCAAGGGCACAGGACTCCCATAACTTGCTACTCGACAAGAGTTACCTTGGAACGCCTTCTGGAAAGAGGAAATAGGATCGATAGGAGATCATGAAAAGACAGCCGTACTTGTTGTTCAGACAGATAAACCAGTCTTTCAAGCTATACGGCGGAGAGGAAAAAGCCATTAAAGCAAAGGGGAAGTATTTTTAACACTGTACAGGAGAGCCTGAGCATTTATGTGTGCACTGAAGAGAGAAAGCATGCGTGGGAAGTATCTACAGCCATCTCGAGACGGGGTGAGGAGAGTGGGTGACTGTTCCTGTGTGGGTGGAGAAGGCATGAATACCATGCAGGGCTATAGTGTTGATGAATTGCGTTATGAAAGGGGCTTCAGTTACACAACCCAGCCCATCCAATTCTCTGCCTGTGTGGGCCGAGAGGGATGGCAGCGCTGCCGCAATCCGTGCGCAGCCGGAAACGAGATGCATACAACCCTTCAAGAAATTTGGTCGAATGCGTAATTATCTAGCAGCTGTGATGCCAGCGACTCACTGAGAGCGAGAGAGTGAATGTACCGGAAAAATCAAACATCAACACACTGACATTCATAGAAATGATGGGCAATTCTTTCATAAGGACAATATCATGGCATAAAGAAGAGGGAGAAAAACGCTCGCTTGCTCTGATTAGTTTTGCGATACGGCAGCGGAAAGGACACATTATCCATTAGCTTGTCATTATAATCATATCAGTGGTGATTATTTAAATAACATCATCTGTCCAGGCGGCTGCTCTCTCAACAAATTGCTACGCACTAAAATTTGACTGGGCCTTGACATCAGCCATTAAATAAGACATTAGCACTGCCTCGGTTTAGGAAATGTTGAGATTTATCTCGATGAACAGTAACCGCAGATAAGAAAGTGGCCAGTTATCATGTCCGGCGTTTATATCTTAATATTGAAGAAGCTACCGATATCCATTTGCTACAATCCAACAACTATTCGGAGGGGACTGATCGGAAGCCCTAAGTAACCTATCACAGTCAAACAGGTTCTCTCTTAATTCTTTTTCTTTGTCACGGAAGAGGTCTACACTGGGTCACGGGTATCAGGTCAAAAGGCAGTGCTTGCTGACAGAAAATACAACAGCTATTGAGGAGAGAAAAAATCCTTTTCAGCATGATGTCATGTTTAATTTAACTGTCACTCCCCCAAGCACAAGATACTATTACCAATCAAATAACTGACCAAACCGGCCACTAGAGAAAAGCTAGGCCTGGACGGAAAAATGTACCCTGGTCTGGGATAGAGGTCTGGCCAGGGGCTCTGGCACACAAGCCATCCAACATGGGACAGAGCAGCGTAATTACAGGATGGCTTGATAATTGAAAACGGCACAGATGAAAACATTCTCTGTGAATAACCCATTCTCAAAACAAGAGCTGCATATTTGTGGACTGGTGCAATGCAGGAAAACGTCATGGAAGTAAATGGGGAAAAGATCAGCACCATGTATTGGTCATTAGATGGATTTATGACACATTCCTGGAGGTGGTGTTTAAAAACATGCCCGCCTTGTGGACTGTGGGAGTGAACGTGTGATTTGACACTAAATCTTCCTGTAGGTGCCTTTGCTTAGAATGCTTAGCAAACCGCCAACAATCCTAAGGGTTTTTCAGGCTCGACAGCTGTATCTGTTTTAATGTACATGTTTCCATTTAGCCTTGGCTTATACGCAGAGCACTGCCCAATGGAAAGAAAGACAAGGATAAAAAAAGTGAAAAACAGGGCTTCATGTTGGTCTTAATTGTCTATGGAAAGGCTGTCATATTTTCCACCGGGTAAGCTTGAAACCATTACAAGGCTAGCCTTCATTAAATTTTCCACAACATTTTGCAGAAATGTCAGGAAGCAGCTGTGGAGGCACTGATTAATTGTCTTCTTACTGGTTCCCCACTTACAACATTATGCCTTATTGAAATTATATCTTGTTTTTTGCACTTCCTCTCACCTACTTTAGAACCCTGTTAAGTCGTGTCACATAAAACCTGTGACCATTTCAATATCACAGAGCCCAAGGAGAAATTACAGCTCTAAAAGCAGATCTTGGCTTAGTTTTACCTTAAAAGGCTGTTGGACACACCTCGGATAATGAAGACTAATGTCAATCCTTCAATCGCAAGAAGGTTTCCACATCGCATACTGGGTGCAAGTACATCAATAAAGGTGGCGTTGAACAGCACTAGCCAAAGCAAGTGGAGCAGTATACCTCATAAGTATTTCCACTGCCAAAGTTCTATAAAGAGAACTAGGTGCAAAACAAGGAGAGCATGTGGTGGCTGTGATCCCGAGTGGAAGAGTTGAAACATCTGCCACAAGTGTGCCCTGGTCTCCTGGAGAAGAACAAATAAATGACTCCATAGTCACTGTCCAAGATTAGAAGATTAAAGCACTGGTGGCCAAATATGGATGAGTGGGATGTTTGACCACCACTAGCCTGAGAACCATTGAAAATAAATCCTGTCACTGTTCTCGGTGCAAGCTCTAAAGCACCGGCATTTGTGGTGTCTGCAAACACATGACAGAAATGTAAAAAGAAAAATAATAATTTAAAGATTCGTTCAAGACCTTTCGTTCTTTTGAAGTGGAAACGAGACTACAATACAGTACAGTGCATAAGCTTTGCCATTATCTTTTGCCACAATTAGCAGTGTGTATGCGCAAACACTAGTTGCCCAAAGTCAACTCAGAGTTGATAGATTTCACAGAAAATGGCTCAGTGTATATGTAACCCCACCGGTACTACAGCACCCAACCCACTCCGAGCTGGGATCGAACCGGTGACCTTCCACATGGGAGATGGTTGCTCTAACAAGAAGGCTAAAGACCATGGTCTCTAGCGTCTGTCTCTAGAGCCCCTTTTAGAGGTCAGAGGGGTGAGCTTTACCTGCACAGCACTTCACTAGCTGGCCTCCTTTACACTCATCCGGGTCACTGCACCAATGTAACCTCGCTGGTCCTACAGCACCAAACCCTCTCTGAGCTGAGATCGAACCAGCGACCTTCCGCATGGGAGTCGGTTGCTGTGACAAGGATGCTAATGAATATAATTATAATAAGATTTTGCGATTATTTAATGTAAATGGAATAATTTCATCTAAATAATACAATTCATCTCAAAATTGCAGTAAGCATAATTGCATTAACAAAGGTGTTGCACTCATATTTTAATCAGAGTATACAGGCATGTAAACACCTTAATTGTATTATTTCCATTCTGACCAAAGTGTACATGAGTTTGGAGGTATGGTGTGCCATCTGTGGAATGTGCTTTCAAAAGTCAGGTGCAGGAATGAAAAACTCTTGTGGACTCATTTAGAGACAAACTAGTTCACACCGCTCTATGAATGATATCCATCACATTCTGAAACTTTCCCTCCACTCAGAATCGATGAACTCTGTTAAACAACTTTCTGTGACCTCTCATCAACAAACTGTGCATAGAACGTGACGGAGGTGCGGACAAACTTAGCTGAAGTTGCATTGACATTATATTTCAAAGGCACTTAAAAAGCAGGGAATAGAACCATACAAAAAGTGTTTTGCATTAGAAGGGTGGTCAGGTTGGCGGCAAAAGCCTAGTGGTTAGTGTGTTGACAATAGCACAAATAGCACTGAGGTGCTCACGGCGACCAGAGTATGATTCTCTCTGCTCCCTATACTTTTTCATTTCCACTCTACTGTCTTTTAAAATAAAGGTTAAAAACCCCTAAACAATAAGAACCGCAGAGTAGAACAGCAGAACTAAGTCTAAGCAGAACAGCGGTCGGTAACACCTAGTCTACTCCATCATATGTGCTGTGAAGTGAAGTATGTTAATAATAGTGGTAGGAATAATAATAATAATTCTTAGGGAATAATATGATGGCTAAAAATTGCATGTAAATGAAAATAAGTGTTTTGCTACTGACATGTAAAAGTTATTGCAATTAAGCCCTTATTTTATCACATTATTTAGCCACATTATTTGTGTGCATGTAAACAATTTCATTGATCCCATCATCTCAAAGAAAATCCAACATATTTTAAACAGTGTTGTTTTAAAGAATGTCCAAAAAACGACAGACTTTCTTTGTAACTGTTTAGTCATCGCGTATATGATGCCTATTGTTTTGAAATATGTTTAATATTGTGTTTTAGTACCAAGTGTACACTACTGTCAAAAATGAACTCTAAAAAAATTAAAAACAGGAAATTATAACTAAATAAATCTTATCTTAAAACTTAGTAAATATTGATGAGCTTATATGATTACACTTACAAGCTAATTAAGAGTTTTGTCAGCCATGGTAAATCACATATAATCATCGAAGCACTTTTATCTTTCTACTGCATCTGTGATGCATGCAACCTCAGCACGCAGTCCTGCCAGATGCACAGCCCGCAGAACATGTGTCTCCCTAACCTCGCTTTTTCCATATTAAACACCTGGTTTCTTCATGAGCTTCCACATATTCCACATCCTGCTGTCTTTGCCCTTGTGTAGTGTCACATTGTGAACTCACCCAAAAGTTTTCTGTAAGTCGGCGATCGGCTTGTTTCTCAGGGTAAAGTCCTGGTGTTACTTCCTCAATAGGAGTTAAGTTAGGCAGGCGAAGACTTGGCGATGGGGTGACAAGTAAGTTCCCCTGGCCAGGGTGCTGAGATTATGCAGACCACTGTAGAGACAATGGAAGGAAACCAGTTAAATTCATGTGTGATGTTAGACTATACAGTATATGCACTATTAGAGTGGCTGAAAGTTCTTGATATCAAATAAACAACCTGAATCTGAGCAATTGCCAGAACAGTATTTCAAATTACCTTGGAGCAATCCAGCTCTATTAATATGAATACCCTGTGCTTATGAGCAAACCATATTACGAAGAGCATGTCTTTGGAATAATATATGCAAAGTGTATGCAACATGACAGTATAGAGTATTTTGCTGATTATTCTTAGTTTCTTCTAGGACTTCTTCTTTTTTACAAATGAAAAAAATACACATAAGCCATGTTCAAAACATGACATAAATATAGTGCTAATCGTAACAGTCAGAGGTTTTCATGTCATAAACAGAATAAATTTAAATGGAAAAAAAATGCCCTCAAGATATTAAAAAACAAAGAACCCAGACGACGGCCATAGGGCTCCATTGTTTGTGCCTGGACAAGACTGAAACTTGGCCAGCAGTCTGTGATGTAGAAAGACATTTGCTGTAATATTGCTTTATAAAGATCTCTTGTAATATCAGATCTAAAACATAAATCATTCAAATGGAAAACGACTATTAATTAAATCCATTTCTTAATTATATTGTACTTTAAATATGACATATGGGTGATATTATGTAATTTGGTGTACATACATATACTATAGATAAAAACAACGCCATACTGTACTCATTAAATTATACAAAATAAGTCCTCATAGTACATTTTATTATGTTTTAAATGAATAAAGACATCTTGTTGAAACGTATCTTAAAAGTAATGGTTTGAAGGATAGTATCAAAGTAGCTACTACACTGCTATCCTTAAAATATATAATCAATTTTGTTGTAAATATGCCTGACAATATTATAATATACAAGATGTGCTTAAAAATCCCTTGTCACCTTTGATCCATATCATCAAAAACACGTGTATCTTTTTATTCAACACTGAAAAAATAAGACAAAGGCCACAGCCTTATAGTGTTACAGTAGTTAACCGATTTGCTTGGCCTTTGCAGTATTATTGAGGCCTTCTCTCCAAAAGCCCATCTAGAGAGACATGCTTCACTGTTTTCATGCTCCCTGCCTTGGAGTGAATGTAGCCAAGCTGTGCTCTTCAGCCTCACAATCTAAAATGTGCCCCAGGGCTGGAGATATTACAAACACCATTATGCTGCTCTGCTGTACTAAGACAAGCTCAGCTAACCCAGAAAAACAAGACATTTCTGTGTGGTTGCATCACAATCTGCAGTGGAGCTCACCCAGGGTAAACACTTCCTCTCACCCGCAACAACAGAAAAAAAGGGCTCACAAATACCTCACACCAAATAAGACATCAGACTTAAAATGTTATAAAGATGCCATTATAATGTTATAAGGAAAACGAAACATGTTTATTAAAAAGAAACAAATCATCAACTTGCTTGATTAGCTATGGAGTGCAGCATATTTTCTTTGATGAAATGTGTTTCAGGATTTTGGTGCCAGTAAACCCACAACAGGCCCCAGAGTCTATTATTAGCAGTTAATATGTTGGACAGAGACTATTTGAAATGTTCCTCCCATCATTCTAACATAATTCCAGTTGTCAACAACTCCTTAACAATCTCTCTAAATTGAACAAATTGTAAGAATGACCATTCAAAAATAGTTTTACTAATCATATGCACATCAACTAAATGAGCACTGTGGTAAAAGGCAAGTAACAAGCTACATTTCCCAAAAGCCTTGTAAATACTAGAGGACACTGGCTCTTATGATACTTTAGGATTATGATACTCTTGGCAAACACAACCTAGATCAAAACCCTTAGGCAAGAAGCTCACCAACAAAAAGTCCTGTTGTGGGTTAATTCACAAGAGGAACTATTCTTATCACTGACATGCGCTGTGATGGGGCAATGATGAGAGCTTAATCTTTAAAAAAAAGCATCCAAAATAGAGACCCAACATAAGGCTGTTAGCTAAATGAACAGGCGATGAATTGGAGATGTACAGGGTATAAATAACTGCCTGTAATTATATGCCTCCACATTTTTCCCCTGCAAATTATCATTTGAAAGTACTTGAGGACATGTGGCACATTTTGTCAAAGCTCTCATAAACTATGCTCTGTGCCACTCCACAGTGTGTGAATTAAAATGTAAAGAGTGACAAGTGAATGCATATTTCAATCGCCCGGGTAATTTCGGCAAAACGATTTCAGTGGGAAAATGCGCCAAATGTCGTGCCATAAATGCATTTCCAACCCCCTTCACAACATCCTCACACCGTTTTCTGCCTCTTTGTCTTACCGTGAATAGGATTTCAGGAAATATATTATTATGAAGCTTTTTCTACCCTCACATTTTTTCAATTACTTCAGCGGGAGAACACAAACTCCTCATAAAAATTTGATTCTGCAGCCTGGTGAACCAGGAGGAAGTCCTAGTTGTTCAGACGGATCTTATGTAATATCCAAACTCCTAAACCGTTCTCTATTTAAACACACCGATTCTATTTTTAATGTTTGCTGCATACTATGATGTAATGCCTTATTTCTTATTTTCTTTAAATATCTGCAGCATGAGTCATAGAATTTCAGATACTCATTTATACAGGCACTTTAATGGGCACATCCTGTCCAATAACCAAGCAGCTAAGTGTACCTCAGTGCATTTAGTCTTATTTACATTGACCCGAGTCTAATGTTGCACGTGGTTAGCCACCACATCCTTTGAGTAAAACTGGTCATGACAACAAGCCTTCCTGCTTGCCTCACTTCCACAACATTATTCAGGGTGATAAAATATTGATGCAGAATAATACAGGAAAGTTAGCAAGATCATTTGAGGTGGCATTAGGTAGCTAAATGTATCACGGAGGAGGAAGGGCCCTGGGGCCAGCAGAGCTGTCATCGCACTGACTCTCAACTCATTGTACTGGTCCTGCAACCATGGGAACCAATGAGCTCTCTGTCAGGTGCACCTGCCCCAGCCTGACACCTCTATTGCACTCTCTCTCTCTCATTTCCTCTTTTAGTCATTCTCTCTTGCCCATGCATAATTTTGCATTCTCTTTTTATGTCTCACAAACCATGATGCCATCATTTCCAAAAACCAAGTCTCTTCTTACTTGAGGAAGTTGGTTTAATGAAGCCTAGCTGGGGACAAATAATAGGCTGAGTAGGAACTGTCACTGCCCAGAATAGATTGCCCCATGAGCACCAGTCAAATCGTCAGAATGCACAATATTGAAATTACATTAAAATAGCGTCCATGACCTCTGCAGCATCACAAATTCTCTTCTCGCACTCTTCCTTCTCCTCCATAATTAATATCATTCTTTTTAATAAATACTCTTAACACTCACAGCCATTGTGTCTTTTTAATAGGAGTTGTAGCTCCAGGCGCCATATAGACAATGCAATTACCTTATATTTAATGGGGCGACTTAAAAATTTATGGAAGGAACTGGAAAGGACTTTTGACAAATGACACAACCAACAAAGGCAATGGATTACTCCTTCAGCGTAGTTATATAAAAAAAGAAGGCAGAGAAAAAAAAAGGATACCGCCAAACCGTCACATGTCTCCAAGCGCAAACAAACAAATCAGTAGGCTCTGTTGTTCTCCTCCAGCCCCAGCTGCACACAATCCTCCACCGAATCCTCCCTTCCATCTTTATCTCCTTCCACCCTTTGATTCCCATGTCAGTTCATGACAGGGCGTTCTTATGGAAAGAGCACCTTTGATAGATAGTGTGCTTCAGTGAGGAATTCGGCGCATAGTTGTGGTCATGACATCAGAGTCACACATTTTATTGTTGGGCGGTGAGTGTTCCCCTGACAGCCGGGGTCCAGTGTTATGTTACTCCTTACAAGAGCTGGGAAACCGGGTTAAGTGGATTTCCTGAAGGCACATGCTAACTTGTACTCAGATCAGCTCCAATGACAGACATATCTGGTATAAAAGTTGCAAGAATGAATGCTTTTAACTATTATGTCTGGTCTTTCTAGCAGACCAGGTTCTCTTCTGGTTAGTGAGTTGGCAATACTTTGTATTTAGAGAGAAAAACATGAAAATACATTATTGTAAGACTTTAAAATAGTATTTATTTAAATGTATTGAAACTATATTCGCTTTATAGCATGGCTCCAATGTCAATTGTTTTAAATGCCCTCCAAGACCTTCACAATAATGAAAGACACATACAATTGAACCAGCCAGATACCCCTGTGGAAAATTATGTTAGGTATTCGGTGATTTACAAGTTGTCCAGTCTTAAAAGGCAAGAAATTGATTTATTGCTCACGACTAATTTGAAACATCATGAGGTGAATACCTCAAGAGGTTTACTAGTCAAACAGAACTGCTGAAACAAAAATATTTAAGTTTCATGGTTTATTGTGAGCTATAAAGCCCTGATCACACAGTGATGATTAGGCAAAATTCCAGAGGGAGTGCTGTCTCCTGGTTGCTTGTTTATCTAAAGAGTCAGTGGAATCACATGAGCAACAATTAGGCACAATGTACTTTTCCTCAATCCGGCAGGTGTAGAGCAGGCCTCTCGCACTGTAATCAGCACATTGGGAGACAGGATTTGGGTTGCAACAAATTGAAGCCACATGGTGTTTAATGGGCATTAATCATAGAGTGCCATGACCATCCTTCACAAGCCACGACAGTCGCCCCCGAACGAAGTAATCAGTGTCATCTTCTCCAACGATTCCCTTCTCTTTGCATCTGACTCCCAAGGCCCAGACTGAGGGGGAAGTGACATTTACGTCATTGGGGGATGAGTGGACCAGTTACCATCCCTGTCACCCCTTTCACAAGAGGCACTCTTTTCAGATCAGAGGCAGGCTGTAGAGAAGGAACTGTGCCAGCCTCAGCACATGGGCTGCCAATAGAATCCTCCCCTGAGATTGAAATGGGGGAAGTGTGACTTACATCGCACAAGCCGAGCACATTGAAATGGCCATGAT